CTGGGGACCAGCAGTTAGAGTAATGGCTACGTCGCTGAACTCCCATGTAGCCGACAGCGGTTTGAGTCCTGGACCCAGTGGTTTAAACTTACGCCTGGCGCGTGTGCGTGCGTGCCCAAGATCCCGAGAGGAGAATGGAGGAGAAGGGATTGCGGCGTGGCCATCCCCCCTGGGGGGTGATTTCTCGCTTTCTGTCTCTCTATCTCTCTCTGTCTTTCTGGCGAGCGCACACGCCCTATAGCGAAAACCTCTTAAAAAAAAAAAAAGTGACCCCCAGTAAGAGCTTTGTGGCATCAGCACGTTCCAGCTGCGTGGCCCCCTCCCGAGTTCAGCAGCCGGCGTGAAGACGATGCCTGCAGGTTCCAGCTCTGATGAGCAGGATGCGCCGCCGTCACAGCTGTGGGGTGACTCGGGCCTGTGTTACGGCTCCCTGAAGGACACTCCAAGGGACTTGTTTTGGTTTGGCCTAACTTGGCCTAAACCCACCCACGGCAGACAGGGACGATTGCTCGGTCAGTTTAAAGACAAAATATTAACCATTGCCTTTGGGGGCAAATAATAAAGATCTGGGAGGAAAGGCTGGGATAGCAAAGGCTCTGGGAAAAAAGGGCTTTGAAAACCCACTCATTCCTGGAACGCTAGACGGGCCTATGAGTGCACGAAGTTGAACGCATGCTCAGAAAAGACCAGAGAAAGCGTTACGTGCTCTTTTCTGGCTGATCCTCAGGTTCTGCACAGCAAGCAGCAGAGGCTTGGGAGAAGCTGTACCTGCCCCGCCCTGGAGGTGCTCACAGCTGACTGCAGACAAGAATGTCTCCAGTGGGTCACGAGATGACCATGCAGCTACCTCAACAGAGGCTGTGGTTGACACGGACTACAAAGAATAAACTCTGGGGGGAGGAAGACTTTTCAGACTTTCCACATTATAATACTAACAATGTCTAATTTCTTTTTTTGGGGGGGGAGGGGGAGGTTTTCGCTATAGGGCGCATGAGCTTGCCAGACAGAGAGAGACATAGAGACAGAAAGCAAGAAATCACCCCCCAGGGGGGATGGCCACGCCGCAATCCCTTCTCCTCCATTCTCCTCTCGGGATCCTGGGCACACACGCACACGCGCCCGGCGTGAGTTTTAAGCCACCGGGTCCGGGA